ACAGGAGTGAGGGACAGCTTCCCCTTGGCACACTCATCAGGCACCTCCCAGGGCGTCAGCCCAGCTGCCTACCTGCCCACCTCATGGTGTCACACACGCCCATCTCACCCCTAAGGGATAGAGGGATGGAGGACAGGTGCAGGCTGTACTGGGGAAAGGGTGGTGTGGATCATGTGACCTGAGAAGCTGAATGAGTTTCTCAAATGTGCATGTGGTTTCTCTTCACTCCCCAGGTGGTATCATCCTGAAAGGCCTCTCGTCAGCTAGAAGGGACCACCTTGCTCTCTACCTGGGGGTTGGACATGGGCGGGTCCTAGAAGAAGTGTTGCCCCAGGTCTGCCTCATGCCCCCGGGCGCTCAGGAAGGTAAGCCTTTCTCTGTCCCAAGATCAGCCAATTGGAACCATGTGTCTGGCCAAGGCCCTGTGTCCAGAACGTGCTGGGATCGATGATGACTCCTCCAAAAAAAAAACCCAAACCAACATTCCTTGGAAAAGCTGAACAAAATGAGTGAGAACTACACCCGTCGTCGTTCTCATCGGTAACTGAGGTCCAGCACGTTCCGTATCCTAGAGACAGGAGTGAGGGACAGCTTCCCTTGTCACACTCATGCAGGCCCTCCCAGTGTTTAGCATCAGAGAGGATTTTTTTGGTGTTGGATGAGTCTTTTTAAAATACATTTACTTTTTGATTTCAGAGAGGAAGGGAGAGGGAGAGAGAGAGAGAGAAACATCAATGATGAGAGAGACTTAATGATTGACTGCTTCCTGCACGCCCACTACTGGCAAACAAGACTGCAACCGGGCTTGTGCCCTAACTGGGAATTGAACGCTGACCTCCTGGTTCATTGGTCGATGCTGAACCACTGAGCCACACCAGCCTGCCCACAGGACTTCAATTTTCACATGCGGAGGCCTGTACCCACCACCTGCATTCATATTTGCAACCCACCTGCAAACAGGAAATCACACTCGCCCTCACTCATGCCTCAGGGACAGGCCTAGGGGACAATCAGATGAAGGCCCAGGAAAGGGAAGAGCAGGGCAGGGGTTTTACCTGACGACCTGGGCACATGACTCAAACGCCCCTGTGATTTGTGTCCACTTCTCAGGTGCAGCCCCAGCGCCAGGGTCTGCATCGGCCAAGATGAGAAGCCCGTTGTCTGCCTGGATGGCCTAAGTCCCCGGGCTCACCGAGGAAGGGTGCCTGAGCAGGCACGGAGACGGGATCCCCAGGAAGGTAAGCGATGCTCCGCTCCTCGCTCAGCCATTAGCTTGTGGGTTTGGAGCTGCTGGAGGCAGCTTGTTTGGGTGTCCCGATGGCACACGGGGTTTCCCTCCGACATGGACTGAGTGTTCCTCGCTCAGTGGTGGGACCTGGTCCTGCAGGCCCTGGAGGACTCCGAGGTCCTTGCCTCACTCAGTGAGCCACCATCCGGCAGCTCCATTTTTTAGAACGTGCTGGGATCGATGATGATTCCCCCAAAAAAACCAAACCAACATTCCTTGGAGCTGAACAAAATGAGTGAGAACTACAACCGTCGTCGTTCTCATCGGTAACTGAGGTCCAGCACGTTCAGAGCCCCAGGGACAGGAGTAAGGGACAGCTTCCCCTTGTCACACTCATGCAGGCACCGCCTAGGGCGTCCGCATCTCAGCCTGTTCTATCTGAGGGTCACAGGCCTCTCCACCAGGTTGGGTGGCCCTGAAAGAACGGTTCTGGTTGGAATGTGTGGGCTGTGTAGGTACAGTGGCCATCGGGCACCTCCTCTGTAGGAGTTTGGAGGGTGTGGCCGGGGCCTTGCCCCGGGGACTCATGGTGTGGATCTGTGTTGGCCTTCGTTCCTCTGCCGTGGTAGCCCCTGCAGCTCTGACCTGGGCACCAAAGGACAAAACTTGCATGGCTCCTGATTAGGCCCATTTCCCTGCTGGTAGCGATAGCTGTTCTGGCCTGTGGACTTGGTGAGGAATTGTGAGTTCCCTGAGGTGTTTTGCGGGTATGTTGCCGATAGTTGGCCTTGGTGCTGCAGTTGTGACATCCTACGCGTAACCCTCGCCCTTCGCCCACATGCATGTGGACTGCTGGGCTCCCAGCTCTGAGGTGATGCTGCTGGTGGTTGATGGTCAGGACGGGGATGCAGGAGGAGGGCAGGTGGAGGTGGACTCCATGTCCTTCCATGCCACGTACTGTCTCTGTTTGCTTTGAGGGAGGCCTTCTGCTTCCCATGGATTTTACTTTATTTTTTAAATATATATTTACTAGAGGCCGGTGCACTAAATTCGTGCACTCGGCATACTGTCCCTCATCCCAGCCTGCATTCTCTCACAGTAGGGAGCCGTAAGGGGAATTCCAACTGACGGCTTAGGCCCAATCCCTAAACTGGTAGTGGACATCCTCAGCGCTGCCGCAGAGGTGGGAGAAGCTCTCACCACCGCTGCTATGCTCACCAGCGGTGAGCCTGGCTTCCGCCTGAGAGGTGCTCCCCCTGTGGGAGTGCACTGACCACCAGGAGGCAGCTCATTTGTTGAATGTCTGCCCCCTGGTGATGAGTGCACATCATACCAAGTGGTTGAGCAGCCTTAACATATTATTAGAATTTTATGATTTGATTGGTTGAACGGATTACCCGATGACGGGACACTTAGCATATTAGGCTTTTATTATATAGGAGGATTGATTTCAGAGAGAATGGGAGAGAGGTAGAAATATCAGTGATAAGGCAGAAACATGTATTGGTCGGCTGCCTCTTACATGCCTCCTACTGGGGATCGAGCCAGCAACCCCGGGCATGTGCCCTGACCGGGAATCGAACCATGATGACCTTCTGGTTCATGGGTCAAGGCTCCACCCCTGAGCCAAAGGAGCCTTGCTGAGGATGCTACTTCTGAAAGACCCTGTGGTGCTTCAGGGTTTTCCTGGCAGGTCAGAGCCTGAGTTCTACGCCAGGGAACGTGTGGTTTCTGATGAGAATATGGCCTCGTCCCACGGGGCAGTGTTTACGGAGATGGCCGATGAGGACCACAGACACCGGCTGCTCTCCCTTTGTCCCCTGAGGGGCACTGGCTTGATTTGCACAAAAGTGTGCCTGGCCCGACCTGGCTGGTCTCCTTACGGGAGGCTGCATGCGTGTGGCCTGTGTGCTCACGGTGCCCGTCTCTGTGTGGGTGGTTAGTTTGTTTCCTTCACGAGTATTTGACCAGTGACCGTTTTCAGGGACAAAATGTCCAAGTTGAGGACCATCCAGACTATTTAGGGGCGTGTTCATAGAACACGGGATCTTTTTGTTATGACTTCCGGGCC